TAATAATAATAATAATAATAATAATAATAATAATAATAATAATAATAATAATAATAATAATAATAATAATAATAATAATAATAATAATAATAATAATAATAACATTTTAACAACCTGATTCGCTGATTAATATTTTAAAAGTCATTTGAAATGAGAAAATAACTCAAACATGAAATAATTTTATAGAGATGACCTTCATTCATGTAGACCTTCATGGATGTGTGTGAAAGTCATCAAGTTTCTTAAAATAACTGAAAATTGTATTTTTTTTATGTTTAGTTAGTTTAGGTTGTAAACTACCTAATGTGGTGCAACTCCTCAAAAATTTGTGAATTAATAATTTATTATATTTGTTTCAAAAAATTTTTTAAATAATATGATAATAATTATTATTATTATTATTATCATCATCATTATTATCATTATTAACGGTAACAAAAACATATTATGGTGTGGGGAAATATTTGATTATTTACTTTGATTTTTACTTGAATTACACCATATGACATTTTCGAAGAGACGTTCTCTTGAAAAAAAGACTTTTTTCATTACATTTTTGTGTTCCATGTCATGACAATAAGTAGGTAATTGATCATTTTCATTATTGGTTGAAATATACTTTTAATTGCATTATGCTTTTTGTTTTTGTTAATATTATCAACTTGATGGCACACATTAGATTCAAACCAACATTGAGCAGGATAATAATAATAATGAGTTGTTTTCTGTAAAGCTTTGTTTCATAATCGATGAACACTGAACTGACTTGAGCTCAATAAGGACACTATTTGAATGCTGTAACATTAATGCTGTTATTTTCTTGTTTATGACTTTGAATCCGCTATGAAACAAAGTATCATATAAAGCGCTATTTAAATAAACGTTACTTGACTATTTCTTAATCACCATTGTCTGTTTCCTCTAAACATCTGCTAGTATTAATGGTAACGCACACAAGTTCGTTCACCTTTATTCACTGTGTTCGGATGTGTGGCTCATGATGCAAGGAGCGCTGTTTAATTTTTATGAATCCTCCAGAGACTGTGATGTAAATGTGACCTATTACAAGAACAGGAATCAATTAGAGGCGTAATAACTAAGAAGCCCTGCAAACGTGTGGTATTTAGTCTCTCTTCCTCCTCCCTCCCTCTCATCTATCTATCTGTCTATCAGAGATTCCACTCGCATGCTAGCCAGAGGATCGCATGAGAACAAGCTGTGACTAATGCTCTCAATAGCGCATTAGCGAGGCTGAGAGAAGGAAAACAGACCCATAAAAAATTTGATCGGGTAATGACGTCTCTTTCTCGTGGCAGGTAGCAGACAGGCCATTTCCTCAGCCGACGGGACTCTCAGCACGGGGTCGGCCGGTGTGTGGAAAGTGTTGGGGTGCGGTTGAGTTAACGGCGGGGGTCAGGTCAGGTCAAACGCATTTCACCCCTCTCCATCTTACTCTCAGACTGCTGGAAGTCTGAGCACTCACAGAGAGAAGTTTCATTCGTAATAGTCGAGATCTGTTAGATCATCAGGACTAATTCCTGCTGGAAGTCTGGTGTTGACTGAACTGTTCAAATGCACCTGGATTTAGAATCAATGAGCACGTTTACATGCACACCAGTAAGCTGATAACTCACAAATATCAGCTTATTAAAATAACCAGTTTTCCCCGTTTACATGCACATCAGTAACCTGACAGCGCAAGTCAGCTGCGTTTACATGATTTCATTATAGTATTATATACATAATAAATCAGGTTATTTCCCTGTAGTGACGTCAAAATATAATCATTTGCGTATCTGACTCTGAGTATTCCATACATTTGTCAGTTGTGATGTTAAATTAAGCTTGCAACATGTCAACAACATATCGGTAAACTTGCAGCTCATATTTTATCCTCTCATGCGGTTATAAACGCAGCATTGACTTCTACTTCTGCTGCACGAGATGAGAACACATTTTTATCATTTTCTGAGTCATGAAAAAGTCTGCTTTTGTGATATATTTCCTTCTTTCTTTACTGCAAGACATTTGCTCTGTCTAGATGCGCTTAAATATGCACTAACGGGGCGTTCCTGTCACGTATCACACATGCTCACTTCAATAAGCCGGCAGAAAGCGGGTTATTGCGTTTAAATGCCGTGCGAAATCGGAGTAAGAGGCAAAAAACTACCTGTTGCGACCGGTTTATGCTTACGCCGTTTATGACCTTACTCCGATAAAAGAAAACGGGTTATATATATATATTATTAAGCATAATCGGCTACGTGCATGTAAACGCGCTCAATGAGAAGGCTTTACAAAAAAATAAAATAATAAATACAATTATTCCTTATATTCTCATGAAGATTCCCGTGTCTATTAGATAACTTAGTATCATTCTTCTGAATTTTCTATTACCTAATTGTAACGGGTAGTAGGCCTACTTATGCCCGTCTTGATAGGGGTTAAATATCCTGTGGCTCTGGATGAATGGGGACAAAGGATCTTTGTCCTTGCCTCCAAATTCAATACGCTCCGTACTATTCTGATTAATATATTTGGGCTAAAATGAGGAGGGCTCCAGGCTTTATATTGTCACGGGCCTAACCTGGAGTTTACAGCACATATGAGAAAGGCCTAAACCATCAAATATCTCCCCAACCTCACAATGTCCTGCAGCATAGAAGGGAACGCCCCTACCCCAGAACCAACAACCG